TGTATTGCTCCTTCTGTTTCACATGTGGTGATCTTCCCCTGCTCGACTGCCGGGAGGAGTCTCTCTCCGGTGGATGGAAGGTAAGATCCTGGACTCTGTCCCAACGTCCTCCACAGTGTGGGCAATGCGCATGCTTTCCGCTGAGGATCTTCCAACACCTTTTGCATCTCCATGACTCCGTCATTTCTCGTTGTTCTTGGGCAAGAAGTTTGCGCAAGTGAGCCAAATGAGGTCGGTCCACAGAGTGATGCAATGAAAGTGTTTGTATTGCCTGCTGAATACGTCCAGTGGTGAGATGAATGTAGCCCTGTTTGTGAAGCCACAATTGTCTCCGAACCAGCGCACGTTGTCGCCTTTGTCGACGGCGATTTGCAGCAAATTTCGTAATGATTGTTCGCAATCACAATGAAATAGAGGAACAAATTGGAATATGGCATAAACTTGTCCAGTGCTTCGACGAGGAAAGTCAGGGAGCTCGCTCAACCAGGCCAGAAATATCAAAAATTCCAAAAAAGTCCTGTAGAATTGTCCTGTTTATGGCAGTGAATCAGGAAACCCGTCTCTGAGGCAAAAACCTCAAAGGAAAAATCGAAGGGCTCGAAGACCAGGAAGTGAAGTGCAGCGACAAAGTCCAGCAACACCGATGTCCTGGTAGATCACCAACGATGTAGAGCTCGTCAATGAGCAAAGGCGGTATCCCCTGCACAGTGGGACAGAGCGCAAGTGGGCCAAGGCAGCTGCTTACCAAATCGCCAGCAGCGCCCGCGGATGCTATTGCTCGCACCCGCTAAGATCAGAGCGTCCCTACTCGCAGCCAGGGGGGAAATTCTTCCTGGCTAACGAGCTTTCAGCCCAAACCTTGTGAATGGTACATATGAATATAAACATATCACCCTTTTTGTTTTTGGGATATTTTTTAGATCCACATTTTTTTGTCCCAACTGGGTCCACTTTCCGACCCGAACATCGCCGTGAAATTGGGGTACACCAGGTATATGAGCTATATGAGCTATATCATCCCCCCACCCGATGGAATGGGGCGTTTTTTTTTTTGAGACACCCTGATGCCTCGCCGGGCAGGAGAGTTTTTCGTAACGAAACACACGAAACAGACACTTTTTGAGTGTAGATGATTGAAATCTCAAAATATTGGGATTTTGTTTCGGGAAAAATCCATGGTTTCTTACATGATCAAAAACATCTGTTCTGAAAAACAACGATGGTTTCCTGCCTCTATTCATGCCATTCTAATGCGCTCGATTTTTCGCATTTTTGAGACTTGTGACAAAGCCAGAAAAAACAATACCAATGAGATTTCATACAGACCTGTCGATTTTATCCCATGCCCAGTCAATCCCAATGTCTAGATGATATGTCATATTATGCCTATAAAATACCAAAAATAGAATTCAGACCATTCAACTATGGGCCTCTGACATCAGTGAGAAATCCGATGGAAAATCACCATTTTTCATGGGAAAATCCACTATTTCTATGGCCATTTTCAATAGCTATTTTGACATAACCAGAGTGTATCAAGATGTTGATATCTTGATGATTTCAGTCGGGAATCTCATGCTTCAGCCAACCTTAATCGTCGTGGCGATGGCAAGGCGTCGCTGTCAACGAGTCCACCGAGTCTCCCCAAGGCGGAAAAATCTGGCGGTTGGTAAAAGCTCCATGGTTTTCCATGGCGATTCAATGTAGCTATGGGTCAAAACCCATGGAATCCCCTGGAGTTCACATCCAAATAGCTGGGATTTATGGATGTGAATAACCCACTAAAATTGATAACAGGTTTTGACTCATCCCCATGTGAATTAATGAAATGATAATGATATGATATGAAATTTCCTAGGATTTATCCCAATCAGGAGCTAATTATATAGCATTATATAGCTAACATTCAAAAAAATGAATGCTATGATACTGATGCTAAGACATGGAGATTTTGCATTCAATGATAATGATATGAAATGCTAAATATGAAATGCTAAAATTCATCTTTATCCAGTTTTTGATGATTAAGATTGATAACCATGAACAAACTAGAGGTTTTCCCATGAATTGAGATTCAACTAGGATATTTTTCATGGTTTTTGATGATAATATACTAAGTGATGGATGATGATGCATGATTCTTGATAGGGTTACCAATGATTCTTAATGACAACAGAATGAATGCTGTTGGGATGATTTTGATATGATATGTATATACCATTCTGGGAAATTATTCTAGTGGATGGTTGCATGCTTATTGTTGTTAGTGTAGTATAATGATCCGCAATGATTTTCATTTTTGAGTGAGTGATCATGAAAATCATGGTCCGTAGAACTATTGTTATATTAGAATGACTATTCTATTACCGTAGTGGGTTTTCAATATCACTGCCATGTTTTTTCATGATCAACGGCCATTCTCTAGTGGGTTATCATTTAATGATTATCAATGGTTTTGATTCTGGGCTTTAGATATTTTAGGTGATCAATCATTGCTATGATACATGTTCTTTTTCCACTGGTTGAGTAATAGATTGAATAGCATACCAAACCGGCTATTTTTCCCCAAAGGACACCGAATTTATAAGCACTAGAAATGATGCTTAGAAAGGGTTTTTTCACTATCCCAAGTATCCCAACATGGCCACTATTTTCCAGGTCGGCGAATTTTATCCATTCAGGGTGAACGGGATGAATCCTCAGAACCAGCAATCGGAACTGATGGAGATATGCCCAGGGATTCCCAGGGATTTTGGGCGAACTCCTTCACTTGAAGCATGAACACCAAGGCACCGGTTCCGGATTTCAATTCGGAACCAGCGCTCAGTTGAAATTTCAACAGAGGATGACATGGGAATATAGTGAGAAATACGGGGATATATTGGGATATACTGGGGATATACTGGCGATATAGTGAATTGACTTTCGGGAAAAACCATCACTGGTTTCGTGTTTTTTTTTGTAGTTTTCACAGTACAAAACACCTGTTTTGTTGGGATTATGATTCAAAATGACAAGCTAATACTTTTTGGTGGCTGAACCACCTACCCAAAAATTGGAACTGTGTCAAAATGGGTTTAAGTTATTGGGTACGCAAGAAAATTAATGGTGGAATCGTAAACATTATGCCAAAATATGCGGCTAGGGTCTTAACATCTGACTCAAAACTCAAACTGGTTGGTGATTTGGAACATTTTTTTCCATATCTTGGGAATAACCATCCCATTTGACCAATATTTTTCAGAGGGGTAGGTCAACCACCAACCAGCAAAACATGTTAAACCAAGTTGGTTTTGGGTCAAACTTTCGGGTGCCTCGTGTTTTGAACTAACAACTTAACTGTTGAATCCCCAGTTTCGTTGGTATCTCTGCATTTTATTGGCCATAAAATGGGAGGTGGGAGGGATTAGAATAGGTCGAGTTTAAGGTTTTCTACTATCAATTGAGCAGAGTTCAAAACCCATTTTGCTTCATTACGATACGGGATTATACTATCCAATATATGGAGATAACATAATCCGTTTTGGGAATTCCATTTATATAACCAACCAGTACAATGGATGACAGTTGAGGCATCCATGAAATTTGGAGGGATGGTTTTCAGCAGCGGAGAGTCTAATTTTTTTGATCCCCAAATCCAGTATTTTGACACCCCATTTTGTCATATTTTATCCACAAACTGCATCAATGATCCGTGTCAAGATTGATCCAAGATATGATCCGTGCACTGGTTCACAATAACCCTGGATTGTTCATGAAATTTGCCCCTGAATCCCTTTTTGTATCCCTGAAAGAAGCACCGAACACCATCCAGGAGTCATTTTTTGTGTCAAAAAAACAATCCATTTGACGCAGCCTGCAGGATCCCTGTATAGCTGGTATCGCGGCGAAGGAGCGGTGGATGGGTACCGGGTACCGGGGAAGCCATGGCAGTTTTCATGGGGGGCCCATGGGATCCAAACATGGATTTACCCTCTGGTTATTTGTTACATAGCCATGGTATAGATGGCCCATAGAAATAGATGATTTTCCCAGCTAGAAACCTCCATTTACAATGGCTTTTCCATAAACAAATTCAGGGAATATGACTGCAAAAGAAAGATATCAGTCAATGAATGTGCTGCAAGTCGCATTTTGTCCATCGTTTATTCTGTTGCGCTACGCTGGTCAGCAATGTCTGATGTGTTTTTTGTATTCGTTTCGGATGTTTCCCATGCAAGGGTTTGAGTCAGATTTGGATGGTAAAATCCGCAGATTTGAAGTGATAAAACATGATAAAACCCTGGATTTCTTCACATTTTTCTTCGACGTCAACCAAGTTGCCCTGTGTTTGAACCTTCAAAATACATCAAAATACGCTGCTCTTCGCAGGTGAGCGGCCTTCAAGTGGCACCGCTGAGACTTCTGCAGAAGGCTTCTGATGTTTTTTTGGGTTTCCTGAAAAGGGTGTAACCAGCAAATACGTATAATTGCATATGTCATATGATATTACATTAAAATAATTGGTACATTGAGGTTTCAATCGAATTATTCAGGTTTTTGATCGTTTGTATTGTCCAGGAATGTGAAATTTGTGTTTTTTTTTGCACCAGTGATTGCCAAATCGTTGACGGGAGAGCATTTTCATCTCAATATCAACATGTCAAAAGCTTGTTTATTGACGACGGAAGGGTTTTGCTCGAAGCTTGATTCCCTTTTACATGCAATGAACCATGCAAGATTCCAAGTTAGGTGACCGGTGTTGAACCTACAACATCAAGTGCGCATTCCAACGCTCCAAACAATTGATCCCAACATATCCCAAATAGGGATCGTGTCGGATCCTCAAAATTCCAAGACATCTGTGTATTGCCGTAGAGAACGTGAGTTTGAGTCATTGGGTTATTTAGGGCATCCATGGGCATCCTATTTTCAGACAATCCTGGGATATATCTGGGATCAGAAAGATGGAGGCTGAGCACCTTGGCTATCCCTTCGAGTGGTGTTGGTTGTTTGTATCCATGGATTGGTATGAAAATCTACAAGACACCCAGGGTGACACCCTGGGTTTGATTCCCAAACACCAAGGGGTTTCCTGCCAAATTTCCCACCAACTTTGGCCGTTGAGGTGTGAAGTCGGGCAGCGACGCATCGAGAGATGGAGAGACGGCAGATGGGGGAACGCCTTCATCAAACAACGAAGGCTGGGATTTTTTCACCGCGGGGTTGGTGTAGGGTGAATATCCATGGTTAGTTTGCTGAGTGTGGCGGGATGCTCCATGAAAAAAACTGTGATTTTTCTATTTCGATAGATTTCGATAGATTGGGTGCCTGCGTTTCAAAACAGGATGCTGACTCCAGCTGTTTTCTTGAGCCACTTATGATGTCGTCGCCGCCCCATCAGTTGGAAACATATCTGGTCCCAATTACTGTATCATTTTTTTTTGTGACCTCTTCAAATGGGGACCCGTTAGAGGAACATCTTTGTTTCATAAGTTCAATGAGTTTTTTTTCGATCGACAAGGACTTGACGACTTCACCTTTTGATTGTGACTCTTCACGAAGAGAGCGAACTCTTGAAACACATCCGGTGTTGTCGTTGAAAATCGTTTTGAAAAGGCTCAAAATTGAAAAGGCCACCCACAATTGGATGATTTGGATGTTTTTGTTGTCAAATGACTCCCATTTGTTGGTGCTATTCGTGGTACCATGTGGTACCCCTGCCTGTGTTTGCCAAACCCAAGTGCTGGTCCAAAAAACCACCAGCTACCATGAGTTGTTGGCGATGCATTTGAAGTGATGAAATGATGATGAACCAAGCCAAACTGCAAGCACAGCAACAAAATTTTCAGATCATCCTCAGTTTTTCATAGCATCTCATAGCGTCATTTCCAGAGTTGGATGAGAGGAACATAGAGATATAGAGGAACCTTTCGGGTCCCCAACAAATTTGCTAACTTGGATTTGCTGAATATGTTCCCAAAATCCACGGAATCGCTCGCTTGGATTCCATGGATTTCGTATCGTTCCTGAGGTGAAAGGTCAGCTAGCAGCAGTGGACCACGGAATGAAGATACCGAAGGCGGGTGGACCACGCCAAGGGATTCAAAAAGGGGAACATCATGGGCAATTTATGGGCTTCAAAGGGGAAAATCATGGGCAAGATCTGGAGAAATCTGGGTGATTTTCCAGTTCTGTTTGATTCCCGGCTATGGGTCAAAGATTGGGTACGTCTGTGACCCATATCCGTGTGGCTGGTGGATAGGGAAGGAAACGACCCTTGGGTAGTACTCTACCATCATTCATTGCACATATATATATAATACATCATATTATATATATACACATACATAGACATTGAGTCGGATACATCATATACATATGATATCATATGATCAGATTTTTGGTTGCTTCAAATCCAGGAACTCCCATGAAGTGAGAAAGAAAGTGGAAGACAGTCGAACTGGTTTACCCATAGCATCCCGTTGATAGATCCCGGAAGATCTTGGAACGTGTAACATGTTCATCCCCCCCAAAAATGCAATAATGTGGTAAACCCAATGATACTTGGATGTGGTAGGTTTATGGCAGGGTTTCCCACATGAAAATCGTCATGAACGTCCCCATGACCCCTAAAAAATCGTTGCCGAAGAGGTCCAACTGCCACTTTTCTCAGGCCAACCGTTGGAATTTGCAGCGTCCCACGATGCCGCAGGTGTCGATGCTCTGGGGAGATCGATGGAAAATCCTGGAAAAATCCGTTTTGGGGAGCCACTTTTTCGACGATTTTGGGAGGATGTTCCATGAATACATCATGTAACTTCACCGTGGATATTGTATTTCAGTGAGTTTTGGAGAATCAGTTAAAGTTGGTGGTCAAGATGAATCGGATAAGTCACCAACTTCTTTTTGGATGCACCTATTTTTTCAATACCTATGTGTGTATATATCTGGGTAAATTATAACGACCTCACTGCGACCTCACTGGAATCATGGTTAATAAGGGAAATCATCCCCAAATGGCATTAATTCAGATTAGTGAAATATTCTAATTTACCCAGATATATATATATAGATAGGATTGTAGAGGTATCCTACTTATTTATGAAGATTGACGAGTATCCGTCATTGTAAAGCTACGACACTTGGAGATATCATAAAGCAAATTACGTTTATGTTTTTTTTAAATGTGAGGGGGGGATGGGAAAAGCCATCCGTTTTAATATTTGGCATATATTTATCATATATGGTTGGTGGTTTGGAACATTTTTCATTTTTTCATATATTGGGAATAATCATCCCAACTGACTTTCATATTTTTCAGAGGGGTAGGTCAACCACCAACCAGTTATCATATAGTTGTTATCCTTTTTTACTCAATTTTTGATAGTATCACCATGATATTCCATGAGAAATATACCAATTTTAGCACAGGTTACCCTAGGGTAAACGTTTCAGATAGATGTGGAAAATCAAGCATCACTGTAGACAAAAAAATCCTGGTTTTCCCCATGGATTTTCCACATGGATTTTCGTTTACCCTAGGGTATTGTTCTTTTTTCCATTACTTACATGGGATTTATACGTACATATACCATCATATACCTATTTTAAGCATTTCTTTAAATCAATCTATCCCCATTTCAGGATGGTTAAAACAACCTAAGCTCCATTTTTTTGTAGGAGCCGATGAGACCCCAGACGCGAACCCCGACGCGAACGCGGATGGAGATCCAGATGCACAGCGACGACGTGGCTGGCGGATAGGCCATCGTCATGGGAGTTATCATGGCTAGGTCATAGGTAGATACACTGGTTGGTGGTTGGGGGAATATATATTTATATACGATGGTTATTGATGGTTATTAATGGTTAATATAATCTATAATCAACTATTCAATGAATAGGTAAATCAACTATAAACATAACTGGTTGGTGGTTTGGAACATGGCTTTTTATTTTTCCATATATTGGGAATAATCATCCTATTTGACCAATATTTTTCAGAGGGATAGGTCAACCACCAACCAGTACATATGTACATATAATATAATTAGGAATATAGAACATAATAATGAATATACATACTCAACCAGAGATATATTCATGTAAATATATATATATATATATTCAAGAACCCGCAAAATATGATGGGCATCTGATTTGTGGCTATATCATGGGGAAAATTAATTTACAGAGGGAAAATGGGTGTTGAAAATCTGGAGATGGCTTATATAGATCTATTTCCCCCCAAATGAGTTGAAGACAAGAAATGATAAAACTCTGTGGGCCCATTGGTGCCCCAAAAAATGGAGCACAGGGATGCACCACCAACCAGCTATAGATTTAGCAACAACTTCGTTTTTTCAAGGTTTCAACCAGACAGAGATGGCGATACAACCAGTAAGTGCGGGGGGCAACCAGTACCTTCAAAACAAAAAAGGGGGGATTCAAAAACATTTCGAGGCTATAACTACTTTTATTTGGTTGATTAAGCCCTGCAAATAACCATCATTAAGCTGCTATTCACCTGTTAAACCATGTAACTTGGTTAGTTTTTTTTTTAAACGATTATTACGATTTATCAAAGCTATTCTTTATGCGGGGGTCTTCATGAAATGGGCGAGCATTAGGCCGGCAATAGTCACCACATGTTGGGCACCTATCCAAATGTCTGGGAGTCCGGGTGACTTGAAGTGATGGTGGTAAAGTCGTAAAGCCAATATTCCACTAGCTTGTTATTCTAAATATCATTTTTGAAGAGTTTGTTTGTTTGTTTGTTTTTGTTGGAGATCAATTTTTAGTTGTTGTAAAAGGTAAGCCGCAATTAAATCTGGATTTCATCAGATAGGACCAGGATTTCATCAAACAGGAACTATATAGTTAGTATCATTACTGCAAGACTATAGTTGTTGTAGTTACTGGTATGATGTCATACAAATGGAGATAACTATGATAACAACATACATAATATATCATAATATCATATATATATAGAATATAATACAATATAATACAATATAATACAATATAATACACTATAATACAATATAATACACTATAATACAATATAATACACTATAATACAATATAATACAATATAATACAATATAATACAACATAATACAATATATATATATACATAATGCAATATAATATATTATGATATGATATGATATAATATTATACGATATGATATGATATAATATATATTTGATAGAATATTGTTTTTTCATTGTTCTTATTGTTGCTATTGTTATTATTACTACATCGACTGGGTTCTTCAAAACACAGCGATGCGACACGGCCCCCTGTCATCAATGCGGAAGCTGTTTGGAGTTGGGAACCATTCCCTCGGCTGCATGGCTGCATATGATATCATTTAAATCAGTACTATCATCCAGTGGTATTATACATAGGATCAATATATCATCATCTACCAGCAAATAAATCGGATATAAATAGCATTACTATCATCATTCTCCTACACTATGTCCATTAAATAATATAATATGATATATATCATATATATATATATATATTATATTACATTATATTAAATTATATTAAATTATATTAAGTTATATTACATTATATTACATTATATTAAATTATATTAAATTATATTAAATTATATTACATTATATTAAATTATATTTCATTACATTAAATTATATTATATTAAATTATATTAAATTATATTAAATTATATTAAATTATATTATATTAAATTATATTAAATTATATTAAATTATATTAAATTATATTACATTATATTACATTATATTATATTAAATTATATTAAATTATATTAAATTATATTACATTATATTAAATTATATTAAATTATATTACATTATATTAAATTATATTACATTACATTACATTATATTAAATTATATTATATTAAATTATATTACTTTGTATTAAATTATATTATATTAAATTATATTACATTATATTAAATTACATTATAGAAAATTATACTAAGTTATATTAAATTATATTAAATTATATTACATTATATTAAATTATATTAAATTATATTAAATTATATTACATTACATTACATTATATTATATTAAATTATATTAAATTATATTAAATTATATTAAGTTATATTGCATTATATTACATTATATTAAATTATATTAAATTATATTAAATTAAATTATATTACATTATATTAAATTATATTAAATTATATTAAATTAAATTATATTAAATTATATTACATTATATTAAATTAAATTATATTACATTATATTAAATTATATTAAATTATATTATATTACATTATATTACATTATATTATATTATATTACATTATATTACATTATATTATATTAAATTAAATTATAATACATTATATTACATTATATTATATTAAATTAAATTATATTACATTAAATTACATTATATTTTTTTAAATTACATTATATTACATTATATTAAAT